AACCTTGGTAGTTTTCGAGATTCGTTTTTAAGAAAACTTAAGGTTGAAGTTTCTCAAAGTTTGAATTTCCCAACGTTGGAGTTGCGTATTATAAGCGTACTCTCAGGAGTTGCAAATCTTGCGTTCAAATGCGACTGCTCAATTGCTTTTAGTTTCCCAGATGTGACGTGTCTTACTTCATTTAAAATTTTTTCAAAGAGATTATATAAAACTTAAACAAAATTTTATGGTTTTTCAAAATTTGTAGAAAAAACTTGAACAAAGTTCAATCAAAGAAGGCAGATTTTTTTTTCAAATATATACGTTTGTTTTTGAGTTGTTGAAAGTTTGGAGTACCGGAGGTGCGTTACACGCTACTGTCTTTTTTCAAGTTCTTTTTCACTACTTGAATTAGTCCTAAACGAGGTTTGTCCGACCAATTAAACTCGTTTTTTTTTCCCGAAGAGTTTTGGCCGTTATCACGCTGGCGAGAAGCAAGGGTATTGCAATCGGGTAGTAGAATTTTTTCCCCGTAAATAACTTTGTTCACAGAATGGCCAATTTAGTAGGAATGGTAAATATGACATGCTCCATTCCTTGAAAATTCAAATAAAACTACCATCATTTAAGTAGTAGTTAGGTAAAGTCTGTTTCAGGTTGTATTCGGGCTCGTTTTCGTCTTAGCTTCTATCGGTTCATTTTCCGTTTTTTAAACGCCATTTTTGTAATTGATAGGGTTTCTATTGGCCTACTTTATAGAGCATGGGTTTTTTTTACAGTTTAAACAGTTATTTTTTTTTACTATAACTGAAAGCTCAGTAGTTTCTGAATATACCAAGTCTGGGTTTTTGGGGCAATTATTTTTTTAATTTTTTTTTTAAATATAGAAACAGTTTCAATTCATATCATATCGGCTTAGTCAACTTAAATAACGTTATTTTGAGTTCAAAAATATTCGCATGCGTATATGTGTTTTAGAATGGATGGGTTATAAAAACTACTAAAACTTGATAATTTTTTCAAGACCATAGTTCTGTTTTCAGCTCCGCAGGTTTCGACCCAACATTTTGTTGCCGCTCGGAAAATGAGTTTCAATTTTTTAAGGCTGCTTACGAACTCCATCCTATACAACTATAAAGTTTTTGTAGCTGTTTTTTTTCAACTGGCAAGTAATTTTTTTAACTTAATTTTTCAGAAATGTTTTATGACTTTTTTTTCATTTACTATCATGTAGTGCAATGTCTGCTTCGCCTCTGTGTATATAAAGATTCAATTGAAGTTTTCAAGAAGTTTCAAAAACACATTTCTGACTTTTTCTGTCATCCATGTGTTCGTAAAATTAATTTGATCGGCCCAAAAAAGGTCAACGATGTTATCAAAAATTTTCCATCAACCTGCTTGACTAAAGTTCAGACTAGTCTTCCGGGTACTGGGTACTTCGCTGATTTTATAGAATATTGTCAGTCAGCAATTTGTATTGACCATGGATAATTTCCAGTTATTCAAATTTTGCTTTTCAAATCTTTTTTGAATAATTAAATTGTTTAAAATTATTGAAAACGTTTTTAGCACAATTATTTTTGCGTAAGCAAGTGTCTCATGTATATCATTCCATGTTTATTTTGAACAATGGACTTCATCCGAATTTCGTGGCTCAATCTTTGAAGGTTTTCAAAAATCACGTTTTTCATAATATTTCAAGACTGTTGAGAAAATTAAGAAATATACTAAGAAAAAAAAGAGTCTGATGTTTCTAAGTTATATGCGCTGATGGGAGCAATTGAAATACGTACGGGCTAATGATAATAAGAAAATAACGCGTACTAGAAAATTTAATGGCTTCTGAGTCTTACTTTAGTCTTTTTGATAACTTGCACTTAACCTTGATTGCTTCTAAAACAAGTAACCGCAATGTGAAAATGACTTGATGAATATGAAAACATATTAACTCACACAATTTATTATCATGGTTTTTTTAAATTATTATTAGCTTGCTAACCGCTTAGTATTCATATTAAAACATCCGATTATGGAGAATCACACGCAACTATCTTTCGCCAACTCACTTGTTTGTTCAGATCGACAATTTCACTAAATTCGCTTTATTACAAGTGTTAAATAGACTTATTGCACAAAATTATATCGCTTAATAAGATCACAGGGCTCTCAACGATGTTATCAAAACTTTTCCATCAACCTGCTTGACTAAAGTTCAGACTAGTCTCCCGGGTACTGGGTACTTCGCTGATTTTATAGAATATTGTCAGTCAGCAGTTTGTATTGACCATGGATAATTTCCAGCTATTCAAATTTTGCTTTTCAAAACTTTTTTAATAATTAAGTTGTTTAAAATTATTGAAAACGTTTTTAGCACAATTATTTTTGCGTAAGCAAGTGTCTCATGTATATGTTGATTGTTTACGCGAGCGAAGCGTAGTGTATTATTACCAAGAATTTTTTTCTAATCTAAGTCGCAAATAAAAGTGCTCATTTGGTGGTACTTTTGGTATGTTTCAATTTAATCACATTTAAGCTTGCTTAAGCATAAACAATTTAATTGCATATATTGCTGCCTTATTTTAGGCTAGTCTTAGGTCCGCTTTGAAAAAAAAACATGTATAATGAAAATTTACAGGATTTTTTTTTACGACGTTCTGAAAAATGTTTGCACTTTTTGTAGAAGTTTCAAATTTTCTCAAAAACTACTGCCGTTTTTCAAATATATAAGATCATCGAAATTCGAAGAGCTTCCAGATGATGTATTTTTTTCTTGAAAATGGAATGTTGGCATCATTTCAAAAAAATCAATCATTTTGTTGGTTTTGATTAAGTTCATTGATTTTCTTTCATTTTATGTTAATATTTGATTTTTAAAATAATCAGTTTTCATAAATTTTTTAAACTATGGATGGATTCAATGATTTTGTTTTTTGAGGCATAATTTTGATAGGAAGTTTTTATTATTCTATTTGCTATCTTTCTGAATCTCTATTCATTTTCTGTAAAATTTATTCAAGGCAATAATTATTGCTTATTTTTTACTACTAAATATAATTATTGCAAATCTTTTCTAATAATTAGATAAAGTATCATAGTTGCATTCTTTCTAATTTACAGGTTTTTCAGGAACTAAGTCGCACATTTTCGCGTTCTTTTTCTGTTTTCAGTTTTTAATAGTATATGCCTTTATACAGCGCTAAATTTAAATCATTGGTTAAGATAATAAAGCAAAGTATTTTTTATTTTGTACGCCTTTGAATGATATTGATGTCTTGAGCTCTTTTGAAAGAAAACATATTTCTACTAGGACCTTTTTTCGGAAAGTTATGGGGATTTGAAAATTGTCAAATTTGGTATTACTAATGCGAGCTTTTTAACAATTGTCTATTAATCCGTAGCGTAGGTGGCGAATCGAAGATAGAAGGTGCAACTTTTTCTTTCGTGTATTCAGGTTTTAGTAGTAAGGGTCTAATCTATCTATCTATTATCGACCATCTTTTATATGTCCAAATACGGGCTTCGCTATCTCGGTTTGGTTCAGTTTTTTCAACATAGTTTTTTTGCATGTTAAACGAAAGAGTTTTTTCACGTTCAAGTTAATGTTTTTCGAATATCCCAACCTTGTAGTTGGAAACTGTCATTGTACTCTCATGGCTTGCAAATCCTGCCTTCAAAAAAACTTAGATTTAATATAATTCTTGAGGTTTGAAATTCCCAACCCTTCTGTTAGGTACTGTCAGGGTAATCTCAGGGGCCGCAAGAAATGTCCCCAAATGTGACTCCTCAAATGCTTTAATTTTTCGAGATCTGACGCTTTTTTAAATCTTGTAATTAATAAACTTTGTAAACTTCGAAATTCTCGACACTGATAGGGTGTTGTCAAGGTTCTCTCAAAATGTTTATTTTGAACAATGGACTTCATCCGAATTTCGTGGCTCAATCTTTGAATGTTTTCAAAAATCACGTTTTTCATAATATTTCAAGACTGTTGAGAAAATTAAGAAATATACTAAGAAAAAAAGAGTCTGATGTTTCTAAGTTATATGCGCTGATGGGAGCAATTGAAATACGTACGGGCTAATGATAATAAAGATTTAACTTTGAGAAGAATCTCATTTATGAATTGAGTTTTTTTGTTAATATGGAAAGTGCAGCTGTATGCTGTCGGCCATTTCAGGGCATTGTTTCTGCGTTAAAAATACAAAAATTTGAAACCAATATTGGAAATTGGACCAATCCAGTTTAAAAAGAACCTTTGAGTTGAAATAAATTTTATCGTTTATTTTTTTAAACGAAAAAAGCGTTGTTCGATGATCTCGTCCAATGTACGGTTGCATTTTAATTTTTTTTCAACATATATTTTTACAATAAAGCAACTTTCATGTTCAGCAACTTTCGTGTTCATAAAGCAACTTTCATGTTTTGCTTGCGTAGAGCAACTTTGCTGTCTGTGTTTCGCTTCTGAGAGGATCTTGCTCCAAGCCGATTTTAGATGGGCCTCAAGTTCACCGTGATTTTTTGGCGATTTCGCTAACTAATTGGAATTGAGAAATAAGCTCTTCGTCAGATTTTCCGCCATTTTTGCGTCGCAAGTGATGCGAAGCTTTTCTAGGGTGTTAATTTTCTAGGACTGATGAAGCTTAACGTTTTCTAATGATGCAATTGGCACCAAGAAAACCGTACTTAAAGGAGAATATGCGAGAACGTCTTTTTTCCTTTTAAATTGATAAAACTCGGCGAAATTTGTTTTTTAGTCAATTTTACATAAGGTGAAAATCTGCTTCCGCCTCACCAAAATCCGACATCGGACCATGATCTCATTAAAATCGAGTTTTCCGTATAGCAGTGGCGGTGGTGGCTGTGTGTGTGTTGTGTTTGTGTGGTGGTATTTAAACCAGCCGAAGTATAAACCAGCCTAAAATACCTAAGTGTTATGTAATAATTATGTAACAATTATGTAACAGTTACAAAAGTTATGCAAATTTCATTCATTTGATGTTACTTTTCGGCTGGCTCATAACTTGGCGCACTTTTGGGTTGTTGTATATCTGGGCTGGTTTATTTACTCTGTATTTGTGTGTGTTTGTCCGTGTGTGAGTGTTTGTGTTAGAGGGGTGGGGGTGTTGTGGAAAGACAAAGCAGCTCAGACTGATACCGGAAAAGATAAGTGAAAGATCTCTGTATTTTGTTCACAATGGCAACTTTGTCCTAAAAGAGACGGAGAGAAAGAGGGAGAAGGAGTGACCTCGGTGGAGCTGTTATTTCAACTAAGAGTAGTTTGTGATGGAAATGAGCAGTGGGATGTGTGCAAATGCAATTAGGCAGTGCCGAACAGGCGGAAGGTATCTAGCCATTAAGGAAACAAAAGAACTAAATGCAATCCCACAAATAGTGGTGCAAATTTGGCCTTTTTTCAAAGAAAGAGCGGGAAAATGAAAAGGGAAATCAGTGTCAAGTTGCTTTATATTATTTCTCAAGCTTTTAATACTACCACTATGGCGCTATTTTGAGCTGGCATTTTGTTGAGAAATCGATATTGGGCCACCTGAAATCTCGCTTCAATTACTTGTTATGCCCAATTATCCAGCCTAAAGACCACTAGCTTAGGTTTAATACGCTACACATTCCCGCCTGTGTTTTCTAACCGACACAGTTTCTTTTCAGTTATTTAAATGGTATTTAATACAGCAAAGAGCGAGCCAGATTTATATTAGAGCAGCAGCCGGAGGTTTGGAAGAGAGTTGGTTGAGTGAGAAGCATAACAGTAATGGAGAGTAGATGAAAGGAGTTATTACATTATTGAGTGCTGATTTATTAGCCTCTGCCAGTGGCGAAGTTTAGTAGTGTAATTGGCGCAGTGGAGTGTAAGCGAAGTGCATTGGCAATAGATCCGAATGGACGTGTGTGTTGCAAGTGAGAATTCTCTCTGGGCTCCCAGCTTCAAATTGAGCTTCTGATCTTGTCACTTCTAGACTTCTTCGCTCAATTCGCCCTCCTGACAACACAAGACAAGACAAGACAACGCAAGACAACACAACTCATACAAGGTAAGACAGCAGCACCTATTTTTAAAGCAGTCCAGTTCACTTCACCACCCGTACCTGCCTGTCTCTCTTCTACTCTATCTGAATTGTATTTTTAGCTCTTTCTCTTTCCTTTTGCCCTCATTATTCACGAGCCCCTTTCTTTTCACACTGTTCGCCAAATTTAATGAAATATCACTTATTTTCTAAGTTGTCAAGATAAAAAACTACAGCTCAGTTTCGAATTTGTAATGAGCTAGTTTTTGCTTACTTCCATTGCCTCCTTTGAAGTGTTTAGATCACCTTTACCCTGTTATTGGTGCTTTAACTTGATTGGTGCGTCTCGATAGTACTCCTGACCCTGTCGGTCGGCCGTCTCCTTTTTTGTTGCACTAGATTCGCGTGGAAAAAGCTGCAGCAGTGACATCCATTTGAATTAGTGAAAATTAACAATACATAAAATATAGTTTTTGATAATCATTTTAAAACTGATTTTTAATAGCTAGTTCCCATTGAAACAGCACAAAAATCAGTTGAAAAAGTTTTAAATTGCAAACGTAAAATTAGCTAATAACGACCTAAATTTAACTACAAAACTGTTCGTTCCGACCATTTGAGAAATGGGGAGGAACTTTATTTGGTTGTGTTTTAGTTTTATTTCCACACAAAATCAGGTACCACACATCGGAGTGGGTCAAATGATATATCATGTTAAAGCCCTTTCAGTCGTGATTCGAACGACCTTTAAAAAATTTCAGAAAATTGTCCCAGTATCGAGAATTTTTTACCACAAATAACCATCGGAATGGTAAGAGTGATATATCATTTAAAAGACCTTTCAGCGTCTTGAGTCGAAAGACATCAAAACATTTCTAAAAAGTTGTCCCAGTGTCGAGAAAAATGGTTTACTCTAATTTCGAGCAAATAAAGCAGTCGAGCACTTTTTATAGAAGAATAGGCCATGAAAGTTTAGTTTTACTTAAGTAAAATTATTGATAAAAGATTTTTCAGAGCGGCAATCACACTGTCTTTTTCAGTTTTATCTCTTTTAGTTCAGAAAAATATCTGCTAAAAATTGAAAACAAACAATTTGACTTTTTTTTTTAATGTTTTAATCATTTGTTTTATTTGTCTCGTACGTTTTTTGACAAAATCAATGCCCAATTTCACTGTTTTAGAGTATTGTCGAATATGCCTGCCTAAGTTCTGGGCTGCTTTTGTCAGATCCTTTTATCACACCACGCCCAGAAATCGACACTAATTTAAAAGAAGAGAGAAAAACTTGCTTATTTTTTTTAAGAATACGGTCGGAACATTCTGTGCTTTTTGCTCAGAAACCGGCTATCCTTGTTTTGGATTGCAATTACTGTATTTCGATTAAACTTGGCTCATTTTTCTGAAATTAAAGTATAAGATTTAAAAAGGAAAGGGAAAAGTAAGCAACCAGCTTTTCATCTCGTACAGCAAAGTTCTTAATATCAATAACGGGTTTTTTATTATAAAGAAGCTTTTGTCATCTTGAGCTTTGCCTTGATTCGATGTGGCTTGGCGTGGTGGTTTCATTTTACTTTTCATATTAGTAATTGGTGCATTGTCTGTTGGTGTTGTCGGTGGCCAAACATGCATAACTAAACAGCTCTCAAGCACTGTTCAACGCATATGAACTCCTTTTGTGTTGTGTGATGACGCCGTCAATGAATTAGAAGTCGCTTTGTTCCAAATCTGCTACATGCTAGGCAATTCTCTTATCTTCTTCATGCTTCAATGGGCACTTATTGTTCTTCTCACTTGTTATTAATTTTTAACAAATTTTTCTTTGCTCTAAATTTGAAGCTCGAAGGCGTATGTAAAAAGTATTTCATGTTTGATTGCTCGGTCGATATTTTCAATGCTCAAACGGTTGTTTGCGTTGTTACAGCCACGGGTTGTGGTGTGTGCCCGTGCAATGATAATTCTTCTTTTTTGCCATGTTTAGAGGCTCTATGTTACCATCGAAATGAGTTAGATCAAGGTGGTGGTATTCAAAAACAGATTTGGGTTTTATTTGCTTATTTGATGTTCGTTTCGTTCGCTAGGTACTTCTAACTTTGAACGGAGAGCCTTGAACTAAAAGTGAGCTAATCGTTTGCTAAGGCTAGCATCTAGCCGACATCCTGTTAACTCTTTTGCATTTTTTTAACATCATTTTGGGCCTAACAACCCTAAATTCATTTTTGGCCAAACAACACAAGACTAGTTTCTTTTTGAAGCTTTTCCGAAGTCTTTATTGGTAAAGACTTCGGAATAAGTTCAAAACAAAACTAGTGTTGGGTTGTGTTTTTCAGATACCTCTTTCAGTTTAAATATGTTTTGAAAGCATTTTGATATTCTGAATTTGATCAATTTCGAGGCAGTGAAATAATTTAAAGATATTGTGATTTTTGCAATTTCATTTATTTTCAACTCAGTTTTATTGACAGCCTTATTGAGAGTTTTAGTTTCTGATTTAAGAGCGAATTCATTTTTTTGCTTTTTAAGTCGTGGTTTTTGAAGAGAAAGTCTTTAATTTTAATGGCGCGGTTTATTGTTCCGACCATTTGGTGTGTTCAGTTTTTGGGTGTTTAGTCTTGGTGTGTCTTCGTATTCTGTATCTTTTTTTCTTAAATAAACGTTCAGTGATTCTGTTTGAAAGCATTTTATTAGCTGTGTGTATCTTCATGTGTCACTTAGAAAATTGCGACAACAATGTGCTCCTTGCAGAGCCACCGGCTTCTCTCTATTGCTAAACTTAGATCTAGTTGTGGTTCCACATAGAGGGAGCTGTCGGCCTTTGAGCTATTTAAATCCTAGCTTAGGCCAGCCAACTTATGTTAAGTCGAATCATTAATTTTGTACTATTTTAGCACTTGTGATAAGTCTTAGAACAATATCTTTCCTTTCTTCTTTCTTAAGTTCTTTTTTCTCTAGATACTGAAAGTAACAGAGGGGGTCCATTTTTTAATAGCTTACAAGTTTGATATTATCTAATTGCAAACTGGAAAAGCATCCAATTTTTACTCTCTTACTACGTGTTCTTTTTTTTCAGTATAGTGCAAAGTTCATGCGTTGATTAAATAGAACTTTCTAGCTATGTCGCTCTGAATAAAGTATGCATGAAGGTAGTTTGAGCCAAAAGGCCGTGGTTTAGTTGCCAAGAGAGATGACTATATATCTCAAGGCCTGGGTTTTAGTTGGTCCATAGATATCTATTATTTCCTAAGACAATGAACATAGTGAAGTCTCATTTAGGCCGTGATGATTTTTTATTTTTTTTTGAGAAAAAAGTCCTAAAAACTGTTCCCGCTAAAATTTGATTTTTCATGATTGACTTCTGATTTATTTTCCTTTGTTAAAAGTAAGACAAACTCCACAATTGAACAGAAAAAAATGTAAAGGCCACGAAAACGTGATCGGTTTCTAGCAGGGGCGGATGTAGGATTTTCGCGAGGGGGGAGGGGTGAGATTTTTATGAAAAAAAATCTACAGTTTTGTCGATCCTTTTTTAGGTCGACCAAAATGATTTTCCGAGCTCGCCCAAAGCACTAAAAACACCCTGTTTTGGCCGAAACTTTTGCGCCGCAGACAAAATTTTGAAAAAACAGGCCAAAAATATCGTTTTTAATCTTTTTTTTGGAAAGTTGTTTTTCCAAAAACAGTTTTTTTCCGCGCTCGCTCCCTCCTAAAAATTAGTTACGCTTGCGATAAGTAAGCGTTATCAAACTGGAATTTAGTCTTATTTTTCGTGTTTACAAATTTTTCAATAAAATCTTTTGAATCACTAGACTTTTTGCGTACACGTGCAAATTTAAATTCTATCGGTCTACTGTTGATACTGATAAATCTTTTAAGAATTAATGTCTTAACTTTTCGAAGACAAAAAATTCCGTTTTAAAATTTTTTTTCGGACTATCGTTAGTTTGATTATGTTTTATCGACTTAGTTGCCGCAGCACGCATGGTTTGTGCTTTTCAGGCACACATGGTTTTTGAGAAAAATATTATGCCTGAGGTGGTAAAATAGGTCCTGTGTGCGAACCAGGCCAGAAGTTTTTTTATTCAAAAGGGAAATATTCTGTTTCGAAAAATTATCGACCTGTTGTGTGTCTGCTTATGTTTGTTGGCTTAGTTGCCTTGTTACGGATTTTTGCTGGGTTGTGAGTAATTTTGATTGTAACTGAAAGAGGTGTGATTTGTTACTGTAATTTGTAAACTTACTAAGTTCGTAATTTTTTTTCGCTGGTTTGTTTGGCTTCAATTGTTTTTGCTTATGTTTTATCGAGTAAATGACCTAGTCAAGCGTTGTTTTAAAAGAAAAATAGATTTTACGTTTTTGTTCGTTTCCGGAGGGGGGAGCTTAAAAATTTTAAGATTTTCGGAATTTTCAAAATTTTTTCGATTGAAAACAATTTTGCTCAACGGGAGTCTATCCAACTTTTGCCGGTTTAGTTGCCGATCAGTTTTTTCTGTCTGAATACTTTTTTAACGCCACTTATTGTGTTTTTAAATTGAACATCATTCCAGACAAATTTCTGAAAATTTTGTGGTCATGTTTTTCGAATTGTTTTAATTGTTTTTCGAATTTGTGGCTTTTGTTTCATTTTCTATCTGCTAGATTGCAATGATGTGTGTGTGTGTGTGGTATCGCAAGTTGTCCACCCCTAAATCCGCCCTGATAGCAATACATAATAATAAAAAAATTCTAATCTCAGCCCGATTTTGAAAGTGACACAAAAAATGATTTAGTGTTGAGATATATTTTTTCTTGTAACTCAATGATATTCTTTTTATGATATTCTGAGTTGATTGACGCTTGTCCAACTGTCTGTTGTCTGTTTTATATGAATTTCTCTGATTTTGTCTGTCGTTTTTTTGTATTGCTGGTTGTGCGAAGATCAGCTTCGACTGAGTAGTTTGTGATAAGTGTTTTGAAGTCGAAATCGCGAATTACGAATCTGCGAATTACTGGATCAACTGTTAGCATTCATTGTCTTGGAAGAGTTCTTAATTTGAAAAAGTTCAGATTCCCTTTGACATCTCCAAGAATAAACTGAGTGGTGGCAGTTGGCTTCTGCCGTAGGCTTCTTTAAACATGTATAATTTATTTAAGTAAGAGAAAGCAGTGTATTGGAAAAAGGGTTTGCCTTAATATGGTTCCTTTTGAATATCTGTATTGCATCACCAGCCAATGCGTACAGTCTAGTCTGTTCCCCGTTGGTCGAATGCTGTGCTGATGAAAGGGGGCTGATAGGCGAAGATAATAATGCCCTCTATGCTGTTATATTACAGCCCCACTTCCAAATTTAGCAGAGCAATTACGGCTTTGAAATGACCAGCTTTGAGGCGCTTTTTCTGGCGTTTTATCCAGGATACGCACTAAGGTCTTTTTAATAAAGCGTGGTATTTCTCATTGTAAAAATGCTTTTCAAGATAAGAAGTCGGATTTAAATTAAGCTACTTTGACAAAAGTGATTTTGGACGGTTTGTTGTCTTATTGGCTCAAAGCATTTCTTCGCCCTTTTTCCCCACGCGATGTAGAGTTGATTCACTATTTTAACAGCGGTCGGCATTTTGAACAACGTTTTTTCACCCCTTTTAATATAGAAGCTGACCATATTTATTCATTTGCAATTTAAATTAATCATTCTTTTCGCCAGATTTTCACGCAATTCGCCGTGTTTCAGTTGAGTTACATTTCACTGTTTTTATTCGCTCAAAAACAGTTTTGCCCTTTCTTTAAATTAGCTCTTTAATTTTAAGTTATCGACGAAATTATCCCACCGAAAATAGCAAAAAAAAAAATTTTTTTTTGTCATATACAATTGGTGAGCCTCGCGTTGAATTTAAAACAGCAGAATCACGAGAAATCATTCGGGTGGGCAACATTTTCAATTAATTTAAGGAAGCGTTTTGCTTTTTTTTTGGTAGAACACGTGTGGGTGGCGTGGGTTGGTGTTGCCCATGCTTTTCCTCCTTGCAACAGAATAAGATTGCAGATAAGTTCTAGTGTTAGTTTATCTTGAAGGGGAGTGTCGAAAATGAGAAGGGAGTAGAGGGAAGCAAAATGCAAATGAGATGTGGCCATAAAATGAATAAGCTGCGTGGTCGGTCACAGCACAAAAGAGTGCTTCTCTCTCTGTGTGTGTGGGGGGGGGGGACTGTTCTGATTGTGAATTTGCTTCTACTTTAATTGCTAATAAGCATGAATTAGTGTCATTTGTGGGGCTGCATAGCAGACAGGTTGAGTTGTGCTTCAAAATGGATTCTTCCTCTTCCTACACTGGTGGGATGGCATGTCATTATTCCTCTCTTAACTTGTAGAGGCAACAGTCCTTACAAAATACGCACTTCATTCATCTGCGTACTTTATTACCTTCTCCTTTTCCCTATTTTCCCGGGTTAGAATTTATCGAGTTTGAAATTGAAAGTCACAACAATCCTTTTTGCTTTGGTTTGGAATTTGCAATTTGGTAGCCCGTAAGAAGTGATTTATAGCTTTTTCTAGGGCTGTGTTTGAGAGAGTATTAGTAAACAATAGGGACCATTTTTTGGCTGAGTTGGCGAGCTAGTTATTTTCTGTCGTCGGTCCGCTGTTCTGTTTTGTGTTGGCTGTGTTTTGGTTTGACGTCAGTCGAAAGTTGACGTAAATGGAAGGCAGTGTGTTTGTTCATGGAAATGAAGTCTGTTATCTGCTGTGAACTAAAAAAGACTTCACCCTCTTCACCCCACAACGTCATTGTGAATGGAGTGACGCTTTCACAGTGACTGTCCTCAATTGAACGAACTAGTTTGTTCAGGCCATCCAAATTTAAATGTTTTTTTTTTCACAGCGGATTTCTTGATTTTTTGTCAAAGCATAATTGAGTTTCAATGTTGAGAAAGCGAAGTTTTTTCCTTTTTTTCGGAGTCGAGATTTCTTTTTTTTTTGGACACAGACAACGGTTTTCAACTGCTAGTTGATCGGCTTAACTCGTTGAGATGTCTGGTTATAACAATTGGGTGGCTCTAGCTCAAAAGTACCCCCCAGTTAAGTACTAGTTGTGCTGCAGAAAGTAGTGGTCAAATATTAAGAGGCGGCATGATGCTCTTCTGCTTCTTCTTCTGTCTAATGCTGAGTGGTATTTTGCGGTGATACCCTCGCTGCGCTCTCTTATCCTATTCTGTTACCCTTGTCCTCATCAACTATCTCCCTCCCTCTCCCATCTTAAATATTGGCTACACACAAACGCAACTACTAACCTATTTGGGAGTTTGCTCCATATAATCTGTGTATGCCGCCTTCAGCCTCAGCTCCCTCAGCACCCAATGTTTGTTGTTTGTTTTCATTAATGCCACTAATGTGCTCGTCTATCAGTCTATTGTTAAAACTGATTGTCCAAATCTCTCATTCGCCATAAAAGCGCCACATATTGTACCGTGTCCACTGAGGGGGGCTGTACGTGTACGTTTACGTGTACTGTGGCAGTTTGGTTTTATTAATGGGCCTGATCTATTGTTACCATTGTTACATCATATTATCATTACCTGCTTATTGTCACACTTTCTGCACTTGGCAATATAACTGTCGCTTTTGAATGAGACAATTTGGCAGCTTGACAGTTTCCTAATTTAACAACACAAATTCGGAGCTTTAAATGACCTTCTTTGCTATAAATTAATGCAAATAAATAGTGGGCTTTATTTTATTGACGCTGCGTTATGCTAAGTCGATAAGGATTACAAGTTTGGTTTTTTTTATTGTTTCGAGTGGAAGAAAAATGTCAGGGCTTCAACGTTGTTTTCAGACAGTTCTCACCGGAACTGCTCCGCCATCTCCGCCTCATCCAGTGCGTAAACAGCCGCCGGAGAAACACCCTACCTCTTCGGCGCCACAAACCCCGAGGACTTCCCCGCCACCGCCGCCCCCAGTTCCCCACAGATTCAAACTCCTCCCCTCGAATCCGATTCCAGCTCAGGTGAAACTAACTTCCCAGGCGGCCTCGACAGTCGCCCTATCGTCATCAGCACCGACAGTCGTAGCTGCGGCGACAAGCACTGCAAACCCGACAAGTGTCGTTGTTCCGGCGAGGAGTTCTGCGAGTAGTAATTACGCTAACAGCGTTGTCACCTCTGCTGTCACTGGCTACAACTATATTGGCCAGTACCAGTCTCAGACGACAGGCAGAGGGATGGGCGACGACCAGAGTGACACGCGCATGCCACTCTACACAGACGAGGCCTTCCACGAGGGAATCCGCTTCAATGCAAAGGTAGCTCACACCAGTCCCAGTTTACACTATGAAAGGCTCTTCACTACAGGAATATTTTATAGCACTTTTGATAATATTTGATGTGGATTTTGGGTTTGAATGAAGTGCAAAGAATCTCACATGTACTCTTTGGTATTAATCAGTCAGCGGTATGATCTATCTTTCAAACCCCCCTCCCCTTTTACCGACAATTGACAATTGCTTTCATCAGACTGTAAGTAAAAATGCTTAAAAATATATTAAAGCATCTTAGTACTTTTTCCAATTCTGTCTTTTGTTTTATAGTGTTTTTGTGTTGTTGTTTTTTCAGTATGTGGGCAGTCTAGACATTCCGCGGCCGGCCACCAAGGCTGAGATTTTGGCTGTCATGAGACACATTCGAGTAAGTGCTTTTGTTTTTTTACTACCATAACCAAGCCTGCCTCTAAGCTACTACATGCAGCAAGATCATCTATTTATAATTGGGCTTGCCATTAGCTAGCGCTAATCACTGAATCATTTGATAGCTTGAATTATTGCGAGTCGATGAACGTAGTTCAAACTCTTATAATGGTAGCAATGATTTTTAGGGACCGTGAGGATTGTTTTGGTTTTTTTTTCTGATTTTTTCAGGCTCAAATTTACTTTTTCGCGGTTTGGCTTTTGATTTCTTTTCAAGTTCAGTTCATGTCCTTTGTTAAGCGTAATGAACGTAGTGAAGAGTATTATATAGGTCTTGCTGATTTTTTATTGTTTTTTTTTTCAGGAAAAGTCTTAAAAGTCTAATTACTACAGATGTGGCGCGAAAAAACGTGAACGATTGCTAGTTTCGAAAGTGCAATTCAATTTTTAGATTTCCAGCGGAATAAAAACTTTATTTATTTGCGCTCATTACTCTTTTCCAATCTTCGATTGGCTATGTGTCATCTTTGAAAGGAAGGCAACACTTTCGAACAGCGAAATTTAAAATTTTCCGACAAACATGAGCGACTTCTAGTTTCGAAAGCGAAATAAAATTTTTACCTATTGATAGTTTTCTCAAATTGGGTTAATAATCAAAAAAGTGTCAATGTTTCATTTTAGAAAATCAAATTAATTACTTTAATTATTTCTGTTCACGTACGTTGTTCATTGACTCTGTTGGCTATGTTTCAACTTCAGCGTCTCATTCTGCTCAATTTTCACAGGTTAAGATCCATGCCTGGGACGACAAATGCTTAGAGTTCGCATCCGGTCAAGACCTGTAATTTTTTTTGATGTGTGCCTGTTTTGGTGCAGCTAATTGAGTTCCAAGAAATTTTGCTATCATGTAGATATTTTGATATACGATTTCAGGACATTTTTTTTGAACGTTTTTTTCCTTTTTCTGGTCAAAACAATTAAGCAATAAATGGAGTCTTATGTTTACACTAGCGAGCGTTAACGTATTAGTATGGACTTTCTTTTTTAAACAAAACTCGTAATTAACAGTTTTCTTTTGAAGTTTTTAATTATTTGGAAATTTTACTATAGCATTAGAAATAGCATAGCATCTGTTTCTGCTTTATTTGTGGATAGTGTTTGTGATTGATTAAGCGTCCGTGGCTGAGTTGTTAGTGTTTGAGACTCATAGTCTGTAGATCGCAGGTTCGATATCGAGACGTTAGCCGAGTTTTTACTTAATTGAGGCTTATTTCCTTTTTTTTTTATTGCTTTTAGTAGAGCTGCTTTTTGTGGTGTTCTCGCGTGTGTTTGCGGAGCGCAGCTTTGCCTCTGTGTAAATTATTGCATATGACAAGTATATTGTTTCAAATCATGTTTTTATCTGATTGCAAACATTTGAAAAACACTACGATTTTGAAATTTTTTCACAGATCCCTGCGCTTAGTTTGAGTTTGTCAATTGAGCTTTTAAGAGAATTGCTAAATCGTACCTACTCTTGAAATATTTGGAGTTTCAAAAAAAACATGTTGCAGTCTTTGACAGTTTATATTTTTGCGCCTGAACACCACTGGCATATAGTTTGGTATCGCAAGTGATGCGGACATCCAGTTAGCCTGTGTTGCTAGGATGCTTTTGCACAAAAATTAAAAACAATGCTTGCATATTTCTACCATTAGCCAATCTGTTGGCCCTTCAAAACCTTCCTCTGTTGCTAGTTACTAAAAATCGTACTTGAGATTCTATTGTTCAAAACTGGAGTGTGCGCAATAACAGTTAGTCAGTCAATACAACACGAAAAGTGAGTAAGTTAATGTCTGCCGGAAATTTCCAAGTTTTCTAGGTCCTATTTTATGATTCGATGATTTTGGATTATTGTTGCCTTTATTCGGCGCAACGTAATAGTAGTAAGGGCATTGGACATGGCGTGGCAACGATTGTTGTTTCTCCTGTTTTTTCCTTGGGCCTCATAATAACGTGAAAGGAAGTGAGTTGCCTATAACAATAAGCTAAGTGCTATTGTGTCTTCAGTGTAAATAATCGAGTGGGGGGGGGGGGGCAGCTCCTTAACTCCTCCGCCCCGCCCATCCGCCCGCCAGCCCCGCCTTTGCTTCTGTTGAGGGAAGCTGTTGGTCATTTGGCTTGAGATTTGTTCTGCTGGCCGGATAAAGAAAAACGGAGCTAATAGATATATTTGCATAAACGTGCTGTGCCCCTGAGAATTGCACTACCGATTGATTTATCGATCTAAGTGGAGTTTGATGATTTTTAACCCAGCCTCTTGACCACGCACAACTTGATGAATTTGACCACGCACAACAATCTCACAGGGTATGGAGGAGGATGCAAAGTTAACTGCAGCTACTATTCGCCATTTGCATGCATAGACAAACTCAAGGCAGAGGTGCATCGATTTTTGCGCGGTCATGGAACCAACATCAGCTAAGGTAGTCCAGCAAAGTCATTTTTGCGAAGAAAGAGAGAGTATTGATTTGGTGCCAAGTACAGTCTAGGCAGAAATGTGTTTCAGCAAAAAAGAAAATAACTCTTTTTTCCTCCATGTTTTTATAACCACAATGATTGGCCGACAATAATGAATGATTAGCTCGCCAGAATTTCCTTTTTGCGTTATGGGATAAACATAGTAGATTTAAAGTCACTCTAATTTTCAATTAATGCAGCCAAGTTGGAAGAATTTTTGCGAAAGCATTACTGTCAAAAAAAGCTGCTGTCAATTTCTGCTTTGGCATCAAACGTGGTTGAGCTCACCTCACACTCATCTACACTATGAAAAAACCAAAGGCACGTTCAGCTTTTTTAAAATTTTTTATTTTAAGAACCATTTTGGACCACATTCATTTCAAATTTCGTTTAAATTTTTACATCGACCGTGAGGAAATGAATGATCTCAGCTACCTTCTATGAAATAATCATTATTTAGTTTCAATAACTAAAATTTTAAACCGGGTTTGGAAGGCCCAGTTTTCCTTATCTGCACTAGTATTGGAGTGAACACTACAGAATAAGCGGAGTGAAAAAATGGATCTTGCGACATGAAACGTTGTCAAAGAGAAATTTGATTTGTTCAGTCTGAATTATTTCCTACGCTCGAATGTCTTACAATTTCACGCGGTTGCAAACATCTACTGCAGATGGTGAAAACTGGAAACCTAATTTTGTGTTTGATTTTTTTCACTTGTGTGAACAAAGTTGATTGACAGATGGAGTGCAATTCTTAAACTGTTTTCAGTTCAAGTTGTTTGCACTTAGAAATGGTTTCCCGTTCTTAGGTTCGAATAAGATGCGAATGACGTTAATTTGGACTAGCAATTGAATCGTTTGGATTCTACAGGAGGAATGGGTACAATATTGGTAATATTGGAGACAATAGTTTGACTTGGTCTGACGTACAATTAATTAAGGTTGAGATTGTCAAGCCAATGGAACTTGTGCCTAGGATTTTTCTAGGTCATGATTTATTGAATTCTTCTGACTCTCTCACTTGAATACACCACGCTAGATTAAACATGAAAGACTTTTTGTTCACAAACTTAGACTAGATATTAAATCAAACACACTCGTTGCGCAGTTAAATCCCACTAAGTCCGTCTGTAAAGTTTACCTTTGACGTGCAGTTTTCAATTTGGATTGGCAAGAAGGTTTCAGTTATGGTTCGAGGGCTGTAATAACTTAAAGATGAAAGCAGCGGGCGCCGTGTGTCGTCCAGTGACTGTTACCGTTCAATAGCTGTAATTAGAAGTTGAATAAAACTTGAAGCGCAACTGCATGGGTGAGTTTGAAATGATCGGCTGTTATCGTGGTAGGTAGCTTCTAATAACAAGAGTTGATTATTTCCAATTCATGGCATGCAGCAAACCAGCAATATCTGACTGATAATTAATTTTGCGAATGATCCTTGGATTGCGTCTGGTTATCTGTACATTTTTCAACTGCTTTTTCCTGTTTTTTTTAATATCACTATTTATGAAATTGGCTTTGTTTTTCAACGAATGATTCAATTAACATGCAAATCCAAACATTTCGACTTTTCAAAAATCCGCACCTTCACCGACCAAAGCTATTTAATGAAATTCATGTTCGGCCGCCAATATATACTCATTTTGAAGGGTAGCGCGCCGAAAAAACGGCAAATTTGACCTGTATGTTTTTTCAGAAATTTGCCTATCCCGCAAATTTTTTTTGTCAAAATAGGATTGTCAGTGTTCTGGGAGCGCTCGGAAAATCAATTTGGTCGGCTTAAAAAAAGGTCGAACATTTTTGAAAATCTGGCACCGCCTCTCGAGAAAATCCTAAATCCGACCCTGAACTAATTGGCTGATTTTTTATTTGTAATTTATCTGTTAATAAGTGTCACGGAATGGCAAGTTCAATTGGATTGTTTGAATTTTTCTCAGCGGAATAGAAAATGGTTTTCTGTTTTTGTTGTTATGTTATTTACTTCAATATGAGCACAATTCTGGAAACAAGTCATTTCAAAACTCAGTTAAAATACTCAAGCGAATCGTTGCATGCCACACGGCTGGTTTGGCAACTGATTTAGATGCGGTGTCCTGAATCATTTTAATCTATGGCCTCTGCAGTTGAGAACACTAACAAGTTATCTCATTCGATGTCATCTGAGGCCACGATCTCAAACGACTCCACAACTGATCCCTAAACACAACAAAATAACTAACTAATTCGCATTTTTTTCTACGTCAAGAAAGGATTCAATCGTAAAAAGTTAATGGAAATATTTGTACCTGTGAGGAGGAAAACGCTATGGTCTTGGGAGAAGTTCAATTTTTCAGCTAGTATTCTTTGTTCGGGTCTGTTTTACTTTTCTCTTCTTGTTTTCCACGCAATTCAGGTACCACAAATAATAATCGAACAGGATATATCATATTAAAGCCCTTTTAGTCGTGATTTGAACGACGGTCAAAAATTTTGAAATAAGTTTTCTCAGTGTTGAGAAAAACCAGT